GAGGCACAAGATAGCAAAAAAAGTAGCTTACCATCCATGAACCACCGACCATCAGAAAAAATGTAAGCTTTCTTAAACGACAGAATCAAATCAGTAAGAACTTGAACAGCTTCAAGAAGAATCCCATGGTTTCTAGCACTATCAATCTGAATTTTTTTTTAAAAAAAAAGCAAAATTAACAAAAATGATTAAATAATTATTACAAATTATATCATGTGCATATGCAATTGAAAGTTGGTATTAGACAGACCATTTTTTTTATAGACAACAAAGCTATAAATTCATTAAATTCTAAGAATAAACATATAAATTAATTATACTGATGGTGTAATTTTATACTCTGATTTAACAGCAACCTTAATCCCAATTCCAGCTTCAAATCAAACAAAAATATAAAAAACCCACAAATCATATTAGCATATAAATAAAACATCAATAAACCTCTCAATAATAGAATTTTTCAATACTTTTCTGCACAAATACGAGTTAAATACACTTGAACAAGATCCAACGAACTAAAAGTAGAGATGCGACAGCGTACCTCCGTGCACGCGGACGGAGGCACGCTGGTGCCTCAGTGCACGTGCAAGCTTTTAGAAACACTTCTCTATGAGGGAAAAAACATAAACTGAAAACATCGTACATCCAATCCCGAACTGAAAGAAAGAAAATAGACAAACGTTGAGAGTTGCTTTGACACTCCTGCTATTGAGACAGTAAAACACAGGCCAAACAACAATGTTTACGATTGCAAAAGTGAAACAGAGACTTCTGAAACCGACAAAGTAGGAAATATCGCAGGTTGTAAATTTGCAAAGAGTGCTTCGAGTTGGAAATGAAAAGGAAAACAAGAAGAAAATATAATTAGGAAATACGGCGTCTTTATGGTTGACGATCCATTTTTACGACATTTTGCATGAACAGTGCATTTCAAACTGTCTCTTTTATTTTGTTTAGGAATCAGCACGTAACACGTTGTACGAATGGAAAGTGCACGCATCCTTCAAACAGGTGTCCTACACCTCCCTCAACTATCAAATTAGTCAAACATTCTGGTCCACGCACAAGAACGAGACGCCACGTAACTGTTTTCTAGAGATTATAATAAAAATCCACGCCACGTGTTTTCATGTTAATCTCAGTCAACCACGTGTGTTGGCTTAATGTCCCGACATTATTGGTGGGGGCTGGGTTGAGGTGGGGACTTGAAGCCGCAAATACTTGCCCACCACGTAGTAATAATCTAAACCAATCGTTGTTTGAATCAACGACTGGGATTCATTTTCATGGTTTCATGCAGTAATTTTACAGTATTTGTATCTCTTACCTTGTTCAGTTTCTTTCTATCTTTGATTTGAAA